AGTAGTTCAATATTTAATTATACTAACTTAATTACCTTGTTTGTTCATCTACAACAGGTGTGACACTTCCTGATCTTGATCCATACATCCTTTCTCCATAATAACTCTGCTCTTCAAATGAAGAATTGCCATATATTGGAAATGATTGCTGATGATCGTAACGATGTTCAGGGGAAGATAAATAACCAAGATCATGATTACTTCTGTCTGGTGAAGAATGATAAGAATGCTCATAACGATGTTCTGGAGATGGTTGGTATGGTGATTGTCCAGATGTGGGATAAATACGATCTGGGGGAGCAAGATAAGCTCCTTGAGGTTCATGGCGTCTCTCTGTATATAAATAAATAATTTGATATATTCTTCTAGTTATTCAAATAAATATAATTAATCTTATTACAGTCATTACACATGTTCACTGAAGTAGTTAAATAACAATATAATTTCAACTATTCAAAACTAGAAGTACGTTAATAAACACTGCACATATAATCAATATCCAGCAAGAAGAAACTATAAAACAACAAACATTTTCATCCATTTTTAATGGACATCATTAGGCTAACTGACCTTTTCAGTTCAAATGCAGTTGTTAAAACAAACAGTTCAAACAGAAAAGTTACTCAGAAGAGGTGATTGCCATTCATATGTGAGCAGTGATGTAAGATAGAGAAGGGAGACGGTTGTAAGATTAAACTTCATAGATGTCTTTCACACAGGGAGGAAGGAGTCTGCATCTCTAAAGTTGATAGCAGTATTATTTCTCATGGCTTTGTAAATTTCTAATTGTTCTAAATATCTAAGCTGTTCTGTGAGGGAGATGCTATGTGTGTACTTAGTTGATATGTACTTTATATCTATGTCAGGCTTGGAAGCAAACATTGCTAATTCAGTGTTGGCAAGCTCTTTCACGATGGAAGTCCAATGTTCTTTGAGGTGGTTGTTTGAAGATTGGCCTGTAGCATCCATGTATTTGAAGTTTCAGTTGGCTCTGTGATCCATCATGGGGATAGTATATATACCAGTGTGAAAAAAAGGATGAGAAACACATGACAATACAACAACGCAAATAACAGTCAATCACGTTTTATTGATTGAAATGAGGTAACAGAGGTCGGACTGCCTAGTGCCATTCTGTTCTCCCCAGAGAACAGAAGTATACATATGTACTAAATCCCCACTCTTGATCAAACTTCCTGCAACAATTGATTTTTATACAATTCAGTTTAAAACTAAGACAATGACAATTCAACTTGAACCTAATACTATTACTGCTTACAACTAAGAAGTGAAAAGATGAAGGAGGGTCTATTGGTAGCTTAGATCAATGGGTCCTGATACTGGGGTTATGTCAACTATGGTCGCTTTGTAGACTGTGAATATCCAATCCGTTGACATCCAGGGTATTAACAAACAGTTACCATTAAATATATGCCGAGGCAGGTCTTTGAGCATGTACAGAAAGACTCACTTTCTTAGTTCCAAGTCACCCTCTGCATCTGGTCTATACTGGCCCTCTCTCTCCTATCTTCCTAAGCCTGATTCCTCATAGCTTGTCTCTTGGTCTCTCTCATCTGACCTATCGCATTGGTAGCACACCCCAAAAGTGACTCTTATCCACTCCTGGTTTCCCCAGGTCCCCTTCCTTTCCCTTTATACACTGGTCCAATCAGGATCCACAAACGTAAAGCTCCTGTCATGTGACAGGAAAGGGTTAACCCCTTCTGGGTTCTTCTTCAGGCATCTTTTAGTTGTAAACTAGCTGGATCTTCTAAAATGAATATGAATATAAAATTTGAAAATATTCAAATGGAGTGATGGAAATTTTGTATGACAACCTCCTCTATGCATGCATTCTTGTGATATGTTTAAATATGTTCGAACATAATGATCGTTGTTGAAAAATGGCTTTAATATCAAGTTGGAACTCAAAATAAATGTGCAAGTGGATGAGTTTGAATAATGAGAACTTATGCGCATGTGTTCCCATGTTTCCGCAAATAAGATTGAATGTTAACTATTGGTGTCAAGTATAGCCTGGAACGCAATTGATAGACACATCTTGTCTCTAAAATTAATGCCCATGGATGTGCCACAAGCTTAAAAATATCTTTAAAGATTTAATTGTAATACACACTGGTTAAAGGTTGAAGTGAGTCTAATTTTGTAAAAAAATTTAATATCTTCAAGGTAGAATATTTAAGGTACTGACAGATCGTAAGATCTCAAAAAAGAAATGCTTCTCATGTTATTGCCAAGAATGTTATATTGATACTCATATTGTCATCTTATAATTTCACTTTAAAATATAGGTCTGGGAAAAAACAAGCAAATGAAGATTGAATGAGAAGATTACCACTCAGAACATGTGAAGGTGAATGTCTGAAACTGGCTGACATATTCTTAATGGAAATGAAGCATCAATCACCATTTGGAAGCAAAGGTAGTAACATCACTTACCGGAAAAGATCATATGTTATCCAGAGTATTAAGCTGGATTAAAAAGGGATGACTACAAACTCAATTAGAAGAAAAATTCAAACCTTATAACAATAGGAAGGATGAATTGTCTATGCAAAATGATTGCATTCTTTGAGGAGCTAGAGTCTTGATATCTCCTAAATTGAGAGACAGTGTGCTAAAATTGTTGCATTCAACTCATTTAGGTATTGTTAAAATGAAAGCTTTTGCTAGAAGTCATGTCTAGTGGCCATGATAAGAATATTGAACAATTAATTAGTAATTGTAGAGAATGTCAACAAACAAGAAATAATCCAAGGAATACATCTCCTCAGCCATGGATTGGGCCTTTGAGACCCTGGTCTAGGTTACGGATCTAGCAGGTCCTTTTAAAGGTAAAATGTTTTTTGTACTGGTTGACTCATTTTAGAATTAAAGGAAGTAAAGGAAAGGAAGTAGTGGCCAGAAGAAAAGGTGTGTCATTATATCAGATAATGACACACCTTTTGTCAGTCAAGAATTTCAAGAATTCTTATAAAAGAATCACATTCATCATATTAGATCTTCTCCCTGCAACAAATGATCAAAAAGAGCACATCATTCAAACCATAAAGAATCTGTTCAGATGAAATAGAAGGGAGGAAGACTGGAAGGTGAATTTATCATGTATTCTCCTCACCCTGCAAATGGAGCTTCACTCGGAAACAGGAAAATCCCCAGCAGAACTTTTGATGAACTAGAAATTGGTGTCTCTCCTAGATTACTGGCATGTTGATCTAAATTCAGAAATGGAGGAAAAAAAAAAAAAACAAGAGTCCAAACACCTAAGTGCTACTATGTCCCATCTGGAAAGGAAGATAAGTGATCCTGTGTTTTATAGAAATTATAATGACAAGGATCAAAAATGGATGCCTGGAGCAATTGCTAGCATGCCAGGACCAGTGACTTGTGAAATATTTACTCCTGACAATGACATAGTGCAAACACATCTAGATCAAGTAATTTCTCTTTCTTTACCATAGAATACAGACACAGATGACACAAACAGTAAACCCCAGAAGAACAAACAACCCTGAAGAAATTAATACTCGGAAAAAAACAAACATGTTTGTTGTCAACCAAAATATCTTGAAGATTTTGTAACACTTTTAGAGGGGAGTAATTGTTATGTATTGGCAACACTATTGCCTCAGGGTTTGTATGATTAGCAACACTTTTGCAGCGGGGTAGGGAATATAAAAAATAGCTAACAAAGGAACCCGTCTTTTGTTCTGGCCAGATCTTACACGAAGAAGTGCAATAGAGACAATTGTAAAGAGTCATAGAATTGTTCTTTTTCATAGTAGTTAAGACATAATACATAGAAAAAACTTGGTCTTTGGCTACCAAGTTTTACAGCAGGTATCGTAAAACTTAGCCTTGAATGGGTTAAATTCCATCATATGTTCTATTCTATGTTTCCGAATAAATTCTTTAACTTGAGAATGATTGCTAAAAGCAATTGAAAATGTTTATTTTCTCTACCATTATTTCACAATCTGGATTTTTGATTGTGTAAGTGTTTTGAATATTATCCAGAATTTTGTGCATTCATTACTTACTATAATATTATTTTGGAAATAAAAATATTAACAATAAATAAGAAATATTCATGAAGTGAATGTTAAAGGATATTATTAATAAACACTGCACATATAACCAATATCCATCAAGAAGAAACTACAAGAAAACAAATGTTTACATCTGTTTTTAATGGGCATCATCAGGCTGACCTCCACAGCTTGAATGGAGTTGTTCAAACAGAAAAGTTCGAACAACATCAGAAGAGGATATTGCTGTTCATATGTTAAAAGAAAGGTGATGTAAGAGAGCAAGGGAGGAGAGGGGTTGTAAGATTAAACACCATGATAAGTAGATCGACTTCCATGTAGGGGGAAGCAGTCTATCTGTAAAGTTGATAGCCATGTTATTTCTTGCAGCTTTGTAAATTTCTAATTGAATAATATTTCTGATACTCAAGACAACAGTAGGAACTTCTAAGGCTACGTCCTAAGTGGCAGCGTCCAGTGACCATGGGCAGAAAGAATCTTTGTATGCACTTCCAACTCACAAGTGACTTCTGTCCAGAGTGGATGTGTGTTGTTTACAAGATGGCAGTGAGAAGACTTCATCAAATCCTACTATGGAAAATATGACAAGTATTAAAACAGTAAATTTGACGGTTAATTGTTATCACTAACTAAATACACAACNGAAATATTAATATTTTAAATAAAATCAATAATATTAAGTTACTTAACTGCACAACACACTAGGATGAATAAATATGACTCACATCAACCTTTAACCAGTGTGAAGGAAATATTAAGTTAAGAATAAATTCATTAAAAATATTTCAATGTAAAAAATCAGTATGCCAACATCAACATCAAGAATCTCACTAATATTGGCTTTCAATTAGAATTGTGTTTGTTTGTTTTTTTATTTATGAGGAAAAAAATACAATTTTTACACAAAATATACAAAGATAAATGGCTTACCTTTAAATAACTGTCGTGCTATTTCAGGTTCTGCTTCTTCTCTTTCACTGCTATATCCTTTTTCTGTTTAATATATGTATTGGAGTAACATTTACAGTTTTATATTATTGTGTAAAAAAAGTAATTAATAAAATAATAAAATAAATGCTTCATATTCTTTTTGAAAAATTACTTTTCAAATGAAACTTTTGTTTTCTGTAGAAAAGCTCCAACATTTTCTTTATATGCATACCATCCAATGTATTAAAGAATTTTCAAATAAAAATGTTAAGAAATGTGAAATATAAGGATATACACCTATTTTTTCTTTAGTATGCTGAGATTCTGTGTCTCTTGTTGGTATCTGTTGAGATGAGTGAGATCTAGGTGGTGGGCCAGTTGACAATGCTTTCTGTACTAATCCAGTAAGATTAGCCAACTGACGTTCCATATGTTCTACACGAAGTCTAAAGTACATGTAAGAAACAAAGTTAATTAGTATTTATAATGATTGCTTTTCCATTATGATTAAATATTCCATTAAGTTAAATTACAATACATTAGTAACTATGAATAACTATATAACTTAATACAATAATTAATACCAAGGCTAATGAGAGCTTGTACAAGGCTCGTTAACCTATTGTCTTTTAGCAGATCTCTTTGTATATTTTTTTTAAACAAAAAGCATATAAAATGTTTCTTTATTAACAAAAAAAAATGTACATATTAGATTTTTTTCTGTTAGTAATAACAACTTTAATTTTAGAAAAGTAAAAAGCATTAAAGACCCCTAAGATTTCTTCAGGCCATGGGAAAACTTCCCAGCTTATCCTATCAAAGACCCTGATTAATATTATAGTAAGAATGCATACTTTCACATTTTATGTGAAAGCTATCATCGGCTTTTCAAATATACAATGCATAAAAAGATTATACAAGAATCCAAAAGATTAATTGAATCATTTTATAGCTGTTCACATTTTAAATACAAATATGAAAATTTAATTTTAATTTTGCAACAAAGTGTTTTAAAACCAAATTCTGAAAAATGCAATATTTTTAGAAGTAAAACTTGATTATATGCTCACTGTGTATGATAATATTTATTTTATATTGATATTTTTCTTTCTAAATATATTTCTAAAACTGTATACATTTTTATCAAAAACAAATTAAGCTTCTTTTAAGCTTCATATTGTTTGGTGTTTGAATTAATGAGAAGCCACATTAAGTTAAAATTAAATGCAGATTAGAACATATGTATGTATATATATTATAGCCATGAAAAAATCAAATGTTTTTATTTCCCCTTATATATATAAATAATGCAAATACAGTGGTACCTCATACTTCAAATTTTGAATGCTAAATTGAGAGAAATTTGACTCAAACTTCAAATAATGCTTCTATATTAAAACTGCATGAACATTGAAAAAATTCACTCATTGTGTAAATACCATCTGCTATGTGTATAAGTTATCTTTCACTCTCATTGTAAAAGCATTTCTTGCATCATGCGTTTTCATTGTTTTTTTTTTTTTTGCTTTATTTTTGATGTGTTTAGTTATATAACCCTTATCTATTAACCACGACATCCAAGAAAACACTTCTTGAAGCAATGAACCTAATAAGAAAGGTGCATGAATAATAGTTGACATATTTGTTATATATCAATTAAAAGCTTACATTAAGCTTATTACAAAAATACAAAAATTTTAACCCCAATTATAGTTTAGCATGAGAAAAACTTTGAAAATTTTTTCAAAAACTATGCTAACTCAAAAATCCTTGCACAAATTTGTTCGCATTCATTGTCATCAACCACAAATAGTAAAGGTAACTGTTTTTTGTAATTAAAAATTAATATAATGCACTATACTAACTATACTTAATATACTGATTAGATTTATGTTTTTGCAGGATATTGGAGATTGACAAAGGAATCAAAATACCATTCATACATCTAGAAAATAAAACAAGTTTCCAATATTTAAAATAGCAAGTTTTCTGCTTTGATCACTTTTGATGAGAAGAAGAAATGTGACAAAATGAAATTGTGTTTCTAACAATTATGTCACTTAGATTGTTATCACAACTCATAATTTCCATAAATTCTGTTAATTGTTAAAAATTTTCATAAACACAAACTTTGTTACTACTACTCTATGTAGACCATGATTGGAGTTAAAATGTTAATATTTCTATAATCAACTCAATGTAAACTTTCAATTAATGTAAAAAAAATCTACTGCATTCCAACCATAACTCATTCACCTTCTTTCTAAGAGGAAGGTTGTAGTATTGATGACTAAAATGAAAAAAGAAACTTATTGCAAAGTGTGATATAAGCCAGGGGCACAGGGGCTGTTCCCCAAATGCCACTTAAATCGGCACAGGTTGTTAAAACCTGACCTTGGTGTCGTCGGATGGCTAAAACTTGATAGGAGGCAAAATCGAGTGGGGAGTGTGTGAGCAAGTCGAGAGGTGTCAGTTTTTTTGAAGTGACAGGAAACAGGTTTAACATATAACAAAATATAAGTTTATTAACTATAACTAACCCTATGATATACAGATCGCTATATGGTTAAATGCGATTATTCTATTGACTATTTTCACATGGACAGCGACTAATTTCTAAGTTCTGTCATGTACCTAATTTCTACTTCGAGAGACAGAGTTGACAAAGTTCTAGCCCTAACATACATTATACCTCTCAATTGTAATGGAGAGTTGTAGGCAATGATTGTTGCTTCCTGGAAGAGTCGGAGCCACTGAAATGTCTTTCCACCTGTGTCTTCTCCTTGGGCTGGATCAAGTCCGTTGAATGGAGGTCAGGGAGATGAAATGGGCACTATCACTAATTATAACTTCCAGTTCAATCGCACCTCGAGCTTCTGGTAGCTTTTGCTTTTATCCTATTGTCGTGGGAAAGGGATCATCTGATCATCAAATGTTGACAATGATGAAACATTTTTGACAGCTAATTGTCAACTTTCCCATCTCTTTCCCATCTGATTGTTATTATTCAAACAATGACCTCTGATCTGATTCTTGCAAGGAGCGTTTTTTTCCTATCGGATCTGTTTACAATTCAAAAAACACAATCCACATCAAGTTTTACAATCCCCTTTAAATCCACAAACTCACATAAAGCATGAAAGTGGTACACATCTGATGAATCTGATATCCACGTTTCAGATGATGAAGTCAACAGTATGCATCATTCTTAAAAACAAGCAAGCAAAAAATGCAGTAAATGTTACTAAAGGTGTGGCAATATTGGCCTCCAAGAGATTCCGTGTAAATGAAGAGATAGAAAAACTCCTCCTAATGTGGATAATTGAGAAGCAATTGGCTGGTGATATCATCTCTGAGAGGATTATTTGTGAGAAAGCCAAGCATCAGAACAGTGAACTTAAAAAACAGGATATCACCACTCCTCACTAAGGTACATTAAATGGCATTTTCATTTTATTACACAGTGTAGCAGCATGTAGTGCTCCCTCTTGATACTAGAAGGAATATACCCAGAAGTAGGTTTTGCTTCCTGGAGTAGGCTTTTCTAGTATCAAGATGGAGCTATAAATTAGGGGACACAAGAAATGTGAACTATTCCTCTTTTGGTCTGATCCTCATGATGTACACGCTAACCTCTATGTTTGTTACAATCTCATATCGTGTGTAAATTTTTGGTGTAATAAAGAGAATATAATTGTACTTAAGTTATCTAGGCATTCCTCAACCTTACAAATAATCTTGCAACAGTATTTACATATTTTATTTATTGTTTTCACATTTTAATTTATTATTTAGGGCATTGTGTTATTTTTACCTTAAATTATGTGTATTTGCTATTTGAAATTGTTTCAAAATGGTTGTTGTTTATGATCCAGGAATGAATTAATTTACTTTCCATTATTTCTAATAGATTCAGAATTCAAACAGTCTCATGACACGAATTAAATTCAAAGTACAAGAAATCACTGTACTGACACTGAAATCATGTCAAAATGTAGTTACATTCTTCCCATAATTATCTCATATAATCATCCTTTCACCATACCTCTGGTAAAATGGTATTTGTAGTGAGTTGTGATCATACCTATAAAAAGAGGTCTCACTCATATCATGGCACAATTTTTGCAAAAAATCATGAAGTTGAAAAACTGCATGCACCTCAAACAAACTGTAAACAGACAAAAATAATGTCAACTTTTCTGTAGAAAAGAGTTGACAATACTTCAATAGAAAAGAGTTCTGTAGAAAAGTAAAAGAGTTGACAATACTTTTCTACAGAAAAGTATTGATAACTCTTTTCTATTGAATAATTTTCTGTAGAAAAGTATTCAGTAGAAAAGAGCTGGATTGTTGAATAATTGTGTTTTTAAAATTATGTGTATACTGTTAATTTTCATATCCAGTAAAACCTATCTAAAACAGAATACGAAGAAGACAAAAATCTGCCAATAGAGAAAAAATTATTTGGAATGGAGCAATTTTGTATGTTAAATTTTACTATAAACTGGAAACTTGTCTAACACAGAAATTGACTTAATTTTGATAAAGTGGAAGATTAAAATTCCACTAATAAACAAATAAGTAAAACCTTCCCCAAGAATAATAGTCATTACAAAGCATGGCAAACTGTATTCCAAGAACAATTTCAAAAACTTTGTCAGAGAAATAAGTTACACGACAAGAGAACATATGAATAAACGATCTTTGTTAACATTTGTCTTTGTTAGAATTAATTAGGGGTAGAATTGAAAACTTTTAAGAATCAAGAATGTTCAAGAATAACATTAATTGTTTGTTCCTAAGAATTGAGTTCTCAGGAACAAACAATTAACGTAATTTATGAAAACAATGAGAATAAGATAACACAATATTGTCAATTTGCCTTGGACAGAATAGATAGTAATTAATTAGTACCAAGCATTCAAGAACCAGTTGATTAAAATTATTGATAATAATAGAGATTGACATAAATGATTAATAAGAGAATTAAAATTCCTTGAGAAGCCAGATCACACTATACTAACTAAAGGAATAATTTGATCTCTATTATTGTATTGTGATTAGACTTTCCAATGACAGAGCTAGTTTGTGAGACCCAAATTGGTTTGTTTACTATCATGTAAACTCATAAGGATCTGAGCACTATTCAAAATATCTAGCACAAGTTTTTTGAAATAGTGAGAACTTTTTGCAATCAAATAGTTCTCAATTATTGAATTCAAATACTACCATCTTTAGCAGATATCAGTTTAGATTAATTTGGATTATGCCTAGCAATAAAGTTTTTTACACATATAGAAGTTATTTTACTATAAAAAATTAACATAACTATGTGACATTTAACTGGTGTAGTTTAAAGTTAAAAAAGTTGCTAAAACCTGTTCAAAACAAAAATTGCATGATACAGAAATGTTTTTTCTGTACCATGCAGTTTTGATTTATTCAG